GTAACATTTAACAAGGAAGGAGAAACAGTGTCACTTACACACAATGACGTCGTCTAAATCTGGACTTTTCCCGGAGCAAATACGAGGTCACCGCCTCATTATGAGGCGAGATTAGTCTGTGAAAACAAAAACCTGAAATTCCACGACAATTTATGGTGCCGCATACTGCCGAAAATCCCACTTTTCATGCCGTGAGAAGAAGTGACAATGGGCTTAGAACCCCCCCAACGCCGTACAGCTGCATTCAGCGTCGTCTGTGCTACCAATTGGTTTTGGGGTTTTGGGTTTTTAGCTTCTAGCTTCGATGGAAAAAGTTGTCTGGACTCATTTGCAGAACATACGTTTACTAACGAACAGTGTGAAGCGTTCCTGTATCTGTTGGTGACGGGTACAGATTGTTCCTGTTGGAAGTCGCTTCTGGCTCGGTGACCTTTAGGGCGACCCCTGACCCTGAAGCAGCTGGCAAGTTTCTACACACAATAGGAGAGACACACCTGGAAAGAACTCTAGCGTTATTTTCCCCTGTATGTGCTCCCTCGTTGGACATGATGGTGGGACACGTGGGGTGAAATGGGCCAGTTTGAGGAACACAGCAGAACAGCACCACTGTGGTTTCTTCAATGGCAGCCATTGATTTACACTCTCACTTCTACAGGCTCGGCAGGGGAGTCGGGGTTTCCAGGGCTGCCGGGTGCCACGGGACTGTCTGGGTTCAAAGGTCACAAGGTGAAAGTCCTCTATTATGGTACATGCACCATTTCAAATAACACCTGTATGGTTTGGTTTAGAACGAATGGTAACAGACGACACTATGAATGATTTATAGCCTTCGTTTGCATGTTGGACTGTAGATAGTAATGGCTGCTATGATATGTACTTGTTCATACGTTGCTTAGATGACATGATTCATTTAAATGGTGCTGAAGGTCGTCCTTCTCACTTCAAAAGCCGTGCGTGAAAGCTGATAAATAGGAGGCGCCCTGATCCTGATCGGTGGCTTTGCCGGCGTCCTGTGCGTCTCTGGTCACTCCCCATGCGGCTGACAGGGTAGAATCATGTCCTTAATTAAACCACAACTAAATCAGGTACAGTACACACACACACACACACACACACACAATACAATCAAATAATACCTCCTCTGTAAACAGACACATTATGACACTCGGCCTGTTTAAACATAATTACAGTAATCCCGTTACAGCTGTGTGGACTTGAGGGTCTCAATGGCTTCGTATGATCTTCCATTGTCATATCATAGCTTATATTAAGAGACTGACAGTAAATATACTACATAAAGTCCATCTCACATCATTAAGACATCAAACGTCTGAGCATCAACACAGAGGAAGCGATGAGCTCCGTTACTCAGTCGCTTCCTTCTTACGAGCTGTAATTGAAAAGAGGCGTCAGGAGCAGAGGAAGGAGCGCTCTGTGACAGTGCTGCAGGAAAAGAGATGGAAAGTCCGGCTGGTTAAAGGTCACCAGTAGCCAATTCCCCCCCTGTCTCTCCCCGGGCCGCTCCTATTGGCTGATAGAAGTAATCATGACCTTTTCACACAAAGCCAAACCAGCACGTGTGCAAACAAACGTCTAATCATGATGTATGTCTCTGCAGGGGGAGCGAGGCACAGATGGAGATCCAGGGACTCCCGGTGTACCTGTGAGTGTAGATTTGCACTCCCCCCACTGGGTGGCAGTGAAGCTTTTTTCAATGTTGAGATTCAGTTCTGTGTTTGAAATATATGTGCAGGTGTGCAGTGAGTTACAAGGACCAATGGATGGCAAGAACATCTCCACCCATCACTTTCAAGCAGCTAAATAGTGGTCGGAACTCGAGTTGTGTTTAATCTCAACATCTGTCAGTTGTTAATAACAGAAATCTTCTGATAAAATCACAACAACTGGAATGAAGATGATATCAATACGAAACAAAAGTTACGTGAGTAACTACGGTTCACTGAATCCTGGATGACCACAGGTCTTTTGTCTCGTGGCTAAGCCCTTAGAGCGCAACCGGGTACAGTAGTCTCCCCCCCCGATGGAGGGTCGAACTGGGACAGCTGGATAGGTCGGTTGGCAGCGGGCGTGCCGCCCCCTATGAGCGAAAAGCTGTAGTCGGCCACAAGGTGACATCCGAGCCGACCGGGCTGGCGTCAAAACGGCAGCTTCAAGCTCCCAGCCCCGTGTCACGTGGCGGGGAAGGCAGGACCCAGACGCAGAGCTTTGGCAAACTAAAAGACTGATAGTCAAGACTTCAAATCAAAAAAAGGCCAAGGGATAAAAATGCAGACAGGAACCAGGAACCCTCAGACCCCGTTTACACGATGGGGAAACGTTTGGGCCTTTCATTTACACAAAAACTGAGGTTTTATCACGGAAAACGATCGTTTCTAAAAGTGGAGATTTCTGAAAAATCAGGTTGTCAAACGTCACAGTATGCGACTTGTTGTTGGTTTTGAGAATTCTGATTGGTTTGCACGTCTTTATCCTTCTCGTTACACTGCCGACTACAGGTTTGGCGTAGTTATGATGGCGCCCGGGGACGTATTTATGCAGGTTCATATAAACAGAAACTTTTTTGAAAACGGAGGGGCAGAAATATTTGTTTCTGTAAATACTGTAAAAACTGTAAATATGTGTAAATGTGGCCTTAGACTTGAACTTCATCAGACCAGAACATTCATCAATGACGTGACACAAGACGCACACGGCTTAAATACACTGGGAGGTGCAGGTGATTGGACACAGGTGGAAACAATCATGACACGGCAGCCAATCATAGGACAAGGCAGGAAGTGAAGTTAACCAGGGACACAAGAGGCCAGAAACTACAAAATAAAACAGAACCCAAACCGTGACACCCTGCCTCGATTAGGTGACACCTACAGGTGGGTGAGTGCTGAAGCCTTCTGCAGAAGGATGTATTATTCCTGCAACATGGCAACAAATTACCTTTTTGTTGATGACATAATCAAAAAAAAGGTTTTTAGAGAGATAAAGCTGAGATAGAGAGATAAGCTGAAATATCCTCAGCTGGCGGAAAGATGAGAATAACATGTAATTCCAAGGTGAAATAAGGCTTCAGCTGTAAGAAGCAGGGTTGCAAAACTGATCGATCATCACAATAATCTTCCTCATCACTATTTGGTGATGAGGAAGCCAAGCTTCAAGCCAAGCTTTATGAAATCCACAACTTGATAACAACACCAAGGTTTGTGTGTTGAGCATTCAAGGAATAGATTAGCACGAATTGATCACTGAGCCGTGGATCCAGATAGGGTTTAGACCTTTAGACCAGCGAGTGGTCATGAAGGTGGGCCATGAAGGTACTGCTGGTGGGCCACGAGAGGTCCATCCATCCATCCATCATCAAACCGCTTATCCTGCACACAGGGACGCGGGGGGTCCATCCCAGCCAACTCCGGGCGATAGACAGGGTACATCCTGGATTGGTCACCAGCCAATTGCAGGGCCAACACAGAGACATACAACAGTTCACACTCACATCCACGGGTCAAGTCATACAAGGCATGTCTTTGGAATGTGGGAGGAAGCTGGAGAACCCGGAGAGAACCCACACAGACACGGGAAGAACATGCAGACTCCACACAGAAAGGCCACTGGGCGGAATCGAACCCAGGACCTTCTTGCCGTGAGGCGACAGTGCTAACCACCACGCCACCGTGGCGCCCTCAAGAACCTGCACCTCCCAGTGTATTTAAGCCCTGTGTGTCATGTGTCCTTTGTCGCGTCATTGAATGTTCAATCCTGAATGTCTTACGTTGAGTGTCTTGCCTGTTCCCGGTTCCCGTCTGCGGTTAGCCCTTTTTGGAATTATATGTGAAGCATCATAATGAGCACAGAATTAATATTGTTGGAATTTGGTTCTGGCACTTTTTGGGGGGGGGGGTTAAGTAATTAAAAGCTTTTTAATCTCATTGGGTGAAGTTATGGACCAATGAAGTTGGAAAAAATCAATCAAGAGTTTTTGTGCATTTACCTGTCTTTGGCCTGTCATCCATTTGTCGATTTTGTCTTTTTTTTTTAACTAAGGAATGTTCTAAATTCTGGCCAATATTTGTTATTCATGATGGTAGTGTAGGCCTTAAAGTGATTTTCAAAAAATTATAGCACAACCTATTGGCATAGGGAAATGCAAATGTTTTACACTTTGATGTCCTACTCCTAGCCATTTAATCTGATAAGACTTATTTTCACAAATTTGAGGTTGAAGACTATGATGATAATTCGCTATAAATGTAGTTTTTGAAAGACTGAAAAATGGTCACATGAAAGATCAAGCTGAAATGTTAGGTCAGTGCTGATGGGGAGTTTTTGCTCAAAAGAGGTAAAAATGAAAATATTTGGACATATGTATAACGGGAAGACTTTAAAAAAGTATCCTGGAACTAGAATGAAAAAAGTCATAATTTTGTCGTCTGGTGAGTATATCTGGGGTCAGCATGTGGATGTCCTGGGTTCAAATCCCATACTAGAATTTTTTGTCCGTCTGTCGGGCACCCTCCCCCTTCGTCACGAAAGGGGAGGCTAAGGACCGTTCATCACGGCTCGCAGCTCTGATTCTTCTTAATTCTTCATTTTGAGGCAAGCCCATCTATGTATAGAGGTTTGTTCACATGTCGGACCCAAAATAATTGATGCAGGCTCCTGGCAAAATGCTCCTTTGGCAGATTTCTAACCACTAAATACATGGTCTGCAATACAATTAATACTAAAATGTGGTGTAACTGTTTATTAATTCCACTTAGAAATTCTTCAGATTCAAAAATGTATATCATGTTGCTGTATTTTAAACTGTTGTATCAATTTGACAAGTATCGGGTGATCATTGATACTCTTTGAAGCCACCTCAAGTCAGTGTGAAACATCAGTTTCAAAAGTGCTTATGTGACCGTTTAAGCATGTAGTCTTTGCTTTTACTTAAGTTAAGTTACAAATTTACTTAATTTTAGTTCAAACCTAAAAATTAACTCCTTTTTAGGTTTGAGAAGCTGACTACTGTGACCAACATCTTGCTGGTCAACCTGGTGATGTCCTCCTTGATCTTCAGGAGCAGTCTCCCCTTCATGGGAGTCTACTTGCAGCTCTCCAACTGGATCTTCGGCAATGTCATGTGCAAGATTCATGGCACCGTGTACTATCTGGGCTCCTACAGCTCCGTCCTGTTTCTAACCCTTTTGACCTTCGATCGACACCTTGCAGTTGTTCACTCGCTGACCGCGTCGCGATTGAGAAGTCAAAGGTATGCGGCAGTATCCTGCGCGGTGGTGTGGTTGGTCAGCTGCCTGGCATGCATCAAGCCCATGATTCTACACAAGGCGTTTGTTGATTTCGAGAACACAACGTACTGTCAGGAGTATCCTAATGAAATACCTGGTATAGAAGGGAAGCTGCTGAGTGACTTTGGATTCTACATTCAGCTTATCCTTTTCTTGATCGTTCCTCTTGCTGTTACCATCTACTGCCATGTCAGGATTTCTATCACTGTCGTTTCATCCAAGATTGTCACCAAATTCAAGACACTCAGGTTGATATTTGTCATTGTACTGCTATTTTTCACAAGCTGGACCCCATTTAACATTCTAATGCTGATGAATGATGAAGACGCTGACTGTGAAACAAGGCAGAAAATGGATTATGCTCTTGAAGTCACTCGTGTCATGGCCTACGCTTACTTTTGTATCAGTCCCGTCTTTTACACATTTGTTGGGAAAAAGTTTCAGAAGTATTTCCGACAGTTTCGGGTAAAAACTTTCCCAGGGTTTAAGAGGGATGTTTCTATCTGTCTGCAGAATAGGAGCAAGATGTCTACACAAAGCACACAAAATTAGCTCTAGGAATCAGAAGCCTTTTGATTTTAAGGACCTCTATGTGGCCAATATTAGGAATTTAAGCAAAAGAGCAACGTTAGAAATTATTATATCTGATCATAACTATTGTTAGAATTATAGTTTGTGTTCTTAGATATTATATTAGTATGTTATAAATAACTAATGCGAACACATTTTATAAGGCCTTTAATTACTGTACACATGAAATCCAGCCATAATGTAATGTTCAGCCTGCTAGAAGGACGCTTAAACTTTCCGCTATGGATGTCTGCCATATTTTCTTCCAATGAAGGGTTTTAGCAAAAGAACGGATGAAGGAAAGCCCTGCCAGGCAATTGTTCTGATTTCTCATCATAAAATGTTATAAACTGTGATGATTTAAGATATCTTATGTAGAGTGTATTAGCTATTGGATGAGGATTATATTATGTTATGTTTACATGAAGAAGCTGTAGGCCAAAGGTTTATTCATTGAATGTGTTGAAATGTAGAAATAACAAGGGACAGTCCGGAGAGGGAGATTTCTGGTTCGGTTCCAGATTGGGTGGAGAGAAATGTCACAAAAACAACGTGGGAGGAGCTACGTTTGAATGTGCAGCCAATCACATCCGGCTGTGAAATGATGGACCCACCACTAGAGATTTGAATCTAGTCATTAGGGTCACCAGATACACACCTGTCTCAAGAGTAAAGGAGGAATCATTGTTGTGCCATTGCCAAGCGGTATTTAATGTGCGCCGCCTCATATGTGAAAATACATTGCAGCTACATCGGGTACAGAGGGACCACATGGACAACTTTAAATGATCAGATCGAGCCGATTGTGTATATCCTGAAGGTTCCATTTACAATGGAGCTTATCAGGTCCGAAAGTAAACTCATTTAACTGTACTAAATGTGCTTATGTGACGCTTTATCGTCCTTTGGAACCTACACATGTCTGCTTGTCACTATAATTGCTCTGATTATTTCATTTGAATGCAAATATTTTGCTGTATATTAATACGTTGAGAATCAATCATGTCCTTTGTTAAACAGTTTTTGAATTTTGTAAAAACTTTGATTCATGTCTATTCAATTGTTGGATTACAGTATATGAGGCAAATTTTTACATGGAAAAGGAGTCAAACTTTGTTGGTTGGTTTTTCTTTGAGTTGGCTCCTGCATTAAGCGGAGCAAATCCGTGGTGTTTGGTTGAATTAAACCTTTGAAATAATAGACTACATGTTTCTGTTTTTAGCATAACGTCAACTTCTTTGTTGAGGACACACATTTTAGAAAACACAGTGACTAAAGGGCTGTAGTAGAAAGTCATTTTCATGTTTCATGGTCATGGTGAAAAGAGGAAGTTGCACAGTTTACCACATGAAAGTGAGAATTGTTCTCGAGTCATTGACATTGCTTCATCTATTTTCAACATACAACCTACAACACTATTTTTAGTTGTAATTCTAAAGAATTTGTTCATCCATTTCAAAAGTACATTGTAGTTTTAAGATTTCAAAGGTTTAAAGGACGGGATAATATACCAAGACAGGTTAGTTTATCATTTCACCATTGATGGTTTAAACGCCATAATTGTATAGTGATTGTGTTATGTCTCTGGCACATCCGCTATCAGATGAACTCTGCTTCACGCCTAATTCGTCCTTCTCTGTCAATGCTATATATTATTATATTGTACCTTGTGATAAATGATATCCCACACTTAAATTCCTGCTATTATTTCCACTGAAAGAACAAATCAAGCTGTCATAATAGTCTTCCATATTGTCTTCCCTCAATTTTCTTTCAGTTTGTTCTGTTGAGGTCAGGTTAAATTTAGTCTGACAGTTATATATATATATATATATATATATATATATATATATATATATATATATATAATCCCAGTAATTATGTTGAGAATTGCAGGTTTGCAACTGAGTGCAACCTGCATATGAACAACAAGCTACCAGCTCACTGTTCATATCAAAACACATGCAAAAGTGCAACCAGAAAAATGTATTGCAAGTAAGACGTTTGGGAAATGTGGCAAAAGGTTTTTTTCAGGGGAAAAAAAAGGAAACATTTCTTACATTCTGAATATTTCATAACAACTTGGGACTAACTCTTTTATGACTGATAGCAAGATACTTTGATAGGCACATTGTGGGAAAGGAAGTAAAGAATTACACTTACTTAGACTTACTAAGACAAGGTAAGTGCACTATAGCAAGACGATGACCAGCATGGATATGATTTGTTTGGGGGATCTGGCCAGGTACCTTCTTATAGAGTCACTTTTAGAATGTTTCTACCTCCCTCTTTCACACAGTTGTGCTGTTAAATAACTAGTAAGCCCCGCAGCAACACGTGTACGGTGTACGGTGATGATGCTTTTGATCAAGAGTATATTTGCTGTATGTAAACTTTATCCTCTCAAATAGTTCATCTGAGGGATTTTAAGCACGTTGGTGCATCTCAGGTCAGACGGCACATAACAAGTCAACGGATCAGGAAGACAAATTACTGGCTAAACACAAATCAGTATACTGCATTATTTTTATGATTAGACTGCATTATTGCAGCTGGGCAGCTGTTACATTTACAGTTACTTTGAATTGTTTTAAGCAATGTTCTACTTTTTAATGGGATTGATTGAATTATTTTAAGCTCTACATGTAATGTAGTGTTTGCAATAGCACTTTACGGATATAACATTATATAGGAGAAACATGACCAAATCACTTATGTTGACACTCTCTTGGATAAATGAATACAAAAAAAAAATAATGAAATGTCACCATTTAACATATTATGGTTGACTACTTTTATTTACTAAAAACCTCTAAAAATTTAACAAACTAATGAGCTGTTTTCACTGCAAAGATTCATTCAGATTAACGACAGACCAGCTTGTTTCAATGCTCTAGCTTTTTATTAATGCATAAAGAAAGAAAGAATATGTGTAGAATATATGTAAGGTTGTGCTAGAAGCATTTTTTCCCTTAACCACTCTTATTGAGGCTCAAGGCCTCAAACACCGTCCAGCTCGTGTCAGTCGTCGTATCGTTCCTTATGTAGCGTTACAGCGACAGAAAAGAAAAGTATAGATGTGAAATACAATCGGATGTGTTTGAAAGCTTGCACCCCCTTTTTCCTAATCAAGGGGCACCTGAGGCTTCACTGCCAGTGAAGGGATCAGGTTCACTGGGCACAAATAGATGGAAGTTTAGTCCAGCACTGCACGTCATCCCAGGCCTTCGCATCTGCCAGTACACAAACAAGAAGGGGAGTTAGTGAATTGAACACAAACCAATCAAACTTGTCAAAACGACTAAACAGCACCAACACCGGTATAAAGTGGATGTAATGGCTCAACACCTACAAGAAACACTTTGCTCTTTTACCTCCACAATTCATTTGAATGCAATGCTGGTGACCCCCCAAGTTGTTAGGCTCTCCATTGTCCCAAATCGTGTAGTCAAATGGTGTCCCATCACTCCAGAACCATTGATTCTCCTGGAGGAAAACATTTGAGTTAGTATGAAATAATATATAATACAAGGTGATTAAAGAAAAAAAATGTAGATATGAGTAGATATTGCATGAATAAAAGGAATTCAAATGTAAAACAGAATGAGTGCAATATTTGTAAGTAATGGTGAATAAAATACCTCTTGTGCATCAGAGCCTCCAATCCATGTGTACGGATGATTGAAACTGGAGCTCATGATGGCTGTCTGAATACCATGGTACTCCAGGACGCTGTGAACGGATGCAAGGTGTCCACCCAGAGAAAGACAGTTTTTCTACAGAGAGGAGACAGACCGATGTATTGGGGAGGGTTTGAACCAATTTGAACCAAATAATTTAAAATCAGTGATACATTATGAGTAGTGATGGGCAAAGATAAAAAAATGTAAATGTGATTAACAGCGATTAATCGCAATGTAAGCAAAATCCATTAATACATTATAAATGTGTATTGCACGGTTTTATTTTAAAGTAACAGTATCAGAACAATATAAGAGCCACTCTCGGAGATCCTTTTCTTTCTGAACAGGGTACCAGGAGGAAAAATTATAGCTTTTATCAAGGATCAACATAATGCAGAATATGTTCAGTAGTACGAGTCCCTGTTAGTGAGGTAAAGTGCTCTAGCATAAAAATGACACTTGAGTCAAATAAAAAAG